GTGGTAGCGGAGCTTTGGTTTGCCCTAGATACTTTCTGGTGGCAACTGGAGCGCACTACATCCGCTGTGCAGAGAGCTGGTAGCATGAGTGGTCCGGGGAAGGATGATGAGCGACCTCGGTTGGAGAGATTTGATGGAACGCAGCCGTCCCAGTACCGGCGATGGCGAAGGAAGGCGGAGTTGATGCTCCTAGCCATTCCAAACACCTATACCAAAGATAGGTGGGGGGCGAAACTGCTTGAGTTTGTCGCTGGTGAAGCAGAGGAGGTTTGCGAAGCTTTGCCCCTAGACAAGATCACTGGAAGCTCTGGATGAAAGGTACAAGGAACTACAGACGGAGGCTCTTCACAACCACTTGCAAGAGTATTTCTATGGCATGCAGATTCGGCCTGGAGAAACGTATCGCAATCTGGAAGTGAGGGTGCAGACAGCGTACCGGCGACTGCAGGAGCACGCTATAGAGTTACCTTCAGAAGTTCGCGGCTGGTTCTTGGTGAGAAAGCTTCAGCTGGATGCGGCGGCAGAGGCTTTGATCATGACCCATACCAAGGGGTCGCTCAAGCACGATGAAGTGACCCGTGCAGTGCAGGCGATCTTTCCACATGGAGTTGCAAAGAACGTTCATGGGAGGACCAAGGAGGTCTTCGAAGCCGATGAGTACCACAGCGGTGGAAACACAGAGGAGCACATCAATGACGTGTTTCAAGCCGTTGCGGACCAAGTGCAATCTGCGGATGAATATGATGACGAGGACGCCTTGGACGTGTTCGAGACCTACAAGGAGGTAAGAAGGCGTGTTCAGCAGAAAAAGCTTGGAAGAGGCTACAAGCATGACGATGGCAACCAGTGGAAGTTGTCTGGCACGGTGAAAGGAAAAGTGGAGTTGCTGAAGAGCAAAACCAAGTGTCATCTATGCCACGAGCGTGGACACTGGAAGCGGGAATGCCCTCGACGCGGCCAAGGAGGCTCAGGGCGGCAGACTCGACCGAGTGGATCCAACGAGGCAATGGTGGCCGACGACAGCGTGGACGGGTACAAGGACTTAGAGTATGAACACTTCCTCGATGTAGATGAGATCGGCAAGTTCGAGATATTTCTTGCAGAAAAGGGAGATCAGGTGGAAGTGGTTTTGGCCAGTCAGGATGAGGCCCTGAATGAGACGGGCGAAGTGAGCGGGGACTTTGAGCGTAGTTTGACCGAGTTTTTGAACAGATCGGGAGCCGATGACATGCAGTCCGATGAGGTATACATGTCTGAGTGC